TCTGTGCACACTGTGTTCACTTTCCTCTCATTCGTGACAGTAATTTTGGTTGTCCAGTGAAGGTGTTGTCTGATTTCTACACTGTATAGTGACTATTTTTTCTGTGCTGCTACAATAATAAGCAATCTATGGAGAAACAGGTTCAGACTATGCAACTATCTTGTTCCTCGTCAACATTTGTACCCTAGTTTGGTATCTCTTAACCGTTTTGGCCCAAACCAGGCTTCACTGTGATGATTTTCCATCTCTGACACTACCTCCTCATTTACTGATTGGTACTCAGCAAGAGTACCTCCCTGGTACTTCTAGCAAGAGCCCTCCCTGGATCCCACTTCTCACTCTCTTTTTTTTAATCAATTTTCTATGGACTCAGATTCCTAGACTTTTCAATGATTTACAGTCTATCACTGCCCTTAACATTTTGGTGCTCAAATCACCCCATATTTGGCCAGTACTGGCTCCTTCAAGCTGACTCTTGTGACATGCCCCTTCATAATTTATTTATTTACTCATTTTTTACCATAATGGTAGAATGATTACTCTCTCCATGTAAGACATTAATTAGAATGTAGTACTGTAGTTTGTTAAGTCAGAAGCTAGACTTCTGGAGAAATGTTCAATGAAATGCTCACCCTGTTGGGCGCAGTGTTTGCTGTGCACTGTCGGTAGTGACCAGAGGAGCACCTCACCTCTGACTGCACCCAGGGACTACAGGGGGGCTGCCATCGAGGTCTATTCTGAGATGCTGACAAGGCCTTTCAAGTCTGGTCAAGTTCACGGTTACTAATCTGCCTCCACACTAGTTCAGTGTGGGCGACTCTGGTCTTCAGAGTATATAGTTGTTTATTTAACATATCCTGTGTGTGTCATTTGCTTTTACTTTGGTTGTTTTCTCGTCATCACATCCGGTAGTTGGAAAATTGTCAGAATTCTATCCTTTTTGTCCAGTGGCATTTTTGGTTTTACTTTAATCTGTGCAGTGTACCTTTAGGCCAATAGAGGGTTGGTTTCTACACTATCATTTTATTGTCTGATTCCACTCGTCGTAACATGTAGGAAGTCATGTGTGACTCAGTCATTGCTCCATGTTCATGTATTCTGACCATCCATAACTAAATATAAATGGAAAGAATCTTTATGCCTCCGTATTCTGTGCTGTTCAAGTCCATCAGTGCTCTCCATCTGGTTCCTCTAAAATTTGTACTGTGAATTGATGAAGAATTACCTAGCTGAAAATATATTAATAGTAGTCCAATGACCACATTTCAAAGGAAAATTTTCTGTGTGTTTATGCCAGTAATATTCCTTAAATTTTATTATTTAACATTTTGGGGTTTTTTTCTTTCTTTTCTTTTCTTTTCTTTTTTTTTTTTTTTGAGACAGAGTCTGGCTCTGTTGCCCGGGCTAGAGTGCCATGGCATCAGCCTAACTCACAGCAACCTCAAACTCCTGGGCTTGAGCGATCCTCCTGCCTCAGCCTCCTGAGTAGCTGGGACTACAGGCATGTGCCACCATGCCTGGCTAATTTTTTCTATATATATATTTTTAGTTGTCCAGATAATTTCTTTCTATTTTTAGTAGAGACAGGGTCCTCTTGCTCAGGCTGGTCTCGAACTCCTGCCCTTGAGCAATCCACCTGCCTCGGCCTCCCAGAGTGCTAGGATTACAGGCGTGAGCCACCGCGCCTGGCCTGACATTTGTTTTAACTCCATACCACCTGTGGCTAAATGCATGTCTTGATACTGTATTGTGCAAAATGTTGGACATATTTGTTCATAATGCCTAAAATTAGATTGATACCACTATTAGCTATTTGGAGGGGGGTTCCAAAACCTGCTAGACAAACTCTAAAAGAGCTGTAATACTTAGCCATTATCTGTATGAATTTTGGGGAAAAGTTGATGATAGGCATTGTCTTTTACTTGAGTTCATGATTTTGAAATGTGTATATATTTAATCTAGATTATTTCAATATTGCCACTTAAGAATACAGTTTATTCAGACTGAGTTACATTAATGTAATTACTATGAGTTTCTTCCCAAAACAATGACTCAAAACCTAAGAGGGGGAAATAAGGAAACGATCAACTTAGTGCACACAGAGTGGCGTGGATTCCTGTTGGGGCACGTACTTAGTTCTGCTCCATTTGAATCTGGGCTGTACTTTCTTGACTCCACCCTCAAATGCTTTCAGGGATTTTTCCCCTTCTCAAATATAATTTATGAAAAAGGAGGTTATAGGACTAAGTAAACAAATGCCTGTAGCGTAACATTTTAAACATAAAGTCCTACTTGCTCTATTTAAGATTAAACTTCTGCAGATTGAACATAAAGGCTGTTTTCATCTTCTGTTTCAAGATACACTTTTGGCAGCTTGCATAATCCCAGCCAAGATGTCTTTTAATCCTTTTTATGACTGAGGACTCAGTGGCTGCTGCTGTGAGGCCGGCGTTTGAATTCCACGAACAGTGAGGGACAAGAATAACAAGGTCAGGTGTTCCCTTCTGCCCACAGCGTGAATGGGCTGTTTCACTGAGCCTCCCCACCACGCTGCAGGGAAACCACGGGCAGGAGCATGGAGCGTGTCGAGGAGTGTTGGGGGGCTGGGGCCGGCAAGGCCAGAGCACCAAGTTCAACGGCGTTGGCATCCACAAGAGTGTCCGCCCTAGCACACACTTCGGTTTTGGCAGCATCCTTCTCAGGGATCCACATTATGTAAGGTTGTAGAAATAAAGTTCATGAAAGAGAACAGTATGAGAAAAAATGTGAATGCCTTGCTTCTAGCCCAAATCACTGAATGATTTAAGCAAAATTATTTTTAGACATTTATTTTTTTTTAAGTAGATCTGCTTTGCCAGGAAGAAAGCGCTTGATTTTTGTAATAATTGAATTTTGTTTCGTTTTTGTTTACTTTTCATCTCCCATAAGGAATTGTTTATGGGTTTAAAATAGATGTGAAAGTAACTGATTATTTTATTTGAAATGATTAAATGGATATAAAATGATGTATTAATGTACTTATATTCTTGGTCATGTGAAGGCTTCTTTTGTGAAAAATTCTGGTTTTTTTGTTTCTTCACGTTGAGTTTTAAGAGATTGAAGTCAACATCATTAAGGATGTGGAATGGGAAGCTTGCCGACTTGGTGGGCGGAACCCTGAGTACTGCGGATGGGTTTGTTCTCCCTCTCTTGTGTTTATCCAGCAAGTTATTCCATTGGAGTGTCTCAGAATCACATGGTGTTCAGTGACTAGGCTATATGCCTGTCACCTCACAATGTATAACCCTACAAGGTTATACTTCTAGGAGATTCTCTGTCCCCACCACCTGCCATGGTTTAGGCAGCACAGTTTGCAGAGGGCTTTGAATGTTTTGCTCAGGAGCTGGTTTCTCTGGGACACCATGAGGGGTGCAGGGTGTGTGTGACATGTTACACTTGCATTTTGGAAAGATCCCTGGCACATGTGAAGAAGATGACCCAGAACAAGCTGGGAGTCAAAAGAGAGAATAAGGGCTTGAACCAGGTATTACGGTTGGGAGTAGAGAAAGAACCTCCTAAGAGGCCCATCTGTGAACATGGAGGCAGGATGTGAATGTTGGGTGTTGGAACAGATTGTTGGGTAAACATGTCTTTGTGGCTTCACATGTCATCCACCATGCCTTCCCTCCTGAACAGGGAAGGGATCACAGAGCTCAGGAAGGGCTGGCAGAGTTGTTGCCGGAGGAAGCAGGATAAGTAAGGGGTTCCACCCTCAAAGTGGCCCAAGTGCTGGCACCCTACACACAAGGGAATGAGTCTTTGCCGTTGAGTATGACATGTAGGCAAGAGGTCAACCCCTGGTGACTGGCTGCCTGGCAGCCAGGAGCTGGGATCAGAGAATACAGGGTAGTCAATGAGTTCACCTCTAGACATGTTGAATATGAGGTACCTAATGGGACATCCAGGTGGACGTGTTCAGGAGGGGCTTAAATTTCTGAGGCAGGATGAGGGGAATCCCAGGCTGGCAGTTTCGTAGTCAGATGTCTTAAAATGTTTCTAGAACAGGGCATGATAGAGTCATTTGTATAGAAGTCATAACCAAGGCCATCTCTAGTCTGTTTTATTTTTCTCTTTGCCCATATTCTACCACAGTCTTAAATTTAATTCTTCCTCCTTACAGCTTTTCAGTTCCCCACAAGAATTCCTTTTTATCTGTCCAGTGAACTATAGGATGATCCACGAGCACATTTTGTTGTTGTTTGATATGGTTGGCGGGGGTGGTCCAAATGATCCTATATGTTTTCTTATTTCTTAGATATTAGATCCTAAGATACCTATTTGGTTCCTGCAGGTAAGTTGGCAGAGACAGCACACTGCCACTAATTGCGAGAGAGATGTGCTTGTTGCACTCTGGTCTTACAGCTGCTTTCCAGAGTAAAGCTCCTCTGCCCTGGAACATTCTCTTCTGTCTTGTGACTATACTTGTTCACAGATTGGTGTAACCCCAGGAGACACGAAGCAGAACACTGTCACTGCTGCAGTTTCCTCTGGTGGTTACATTTTCCAAAACTATGCAAGAACTAATATGTGAAAAAAAAAAAATAGCCTTTATCTCTTGTGCCTGACAGATAATCAGATTACTTTGGGAATTAGATAAAAATAAATCATTTGTTCCTATAGTTAGCTACTATGATGACCAAGGTAATCTCTTGTGAGAGAATTTCAAAATTAAATCAGATACATAGAATTTGGCTTAGGGAACAAGTAAATATAGAAAGAACAATGTGCATTTGAAGACAAAGTTGGCGTTCTTTTGATTAACAATGTTGTAGAGCAGATTTGCTCTCAGCTGTGTGTCCCTCTGGAACCCACCATAGGGACCCAGTCGTCTCCCTGATGTGTCTTAGGCATGACACTTAAAGACCCTGAGAACAGCATGTGTTTCCCTGCACTGTTTCCCTTTCCCTGATACAAAACTATGCAATGGCTTTTCCCCCTAACATGTCTGGTTTTGTTCACAGGCCACGTTCTCATAGAGATTTCAAGTACCCACAAGAAACTCAATGAGAGTCTTGATGAAAATGTATGTTATTTGGTTTTATATTTACAAAATACATATTTTTCTTAATTTATTTTGCTTAAAGTCTCAAATTTGGAGTGAATGTTTATTTCCTTTTGCCAACAGTTCAAAAAATTCCATAAAGAGATTATACATGAGCTGGAGAAGAAGACAGAACTTGATGTGAAGTACATGAATGTAAGTACTTGGTTTTCCTCAACTCCCAGTGCTGGGGCCCTGATCATCGCTCAGGCCGGGGAGCACTTTTTCCCGCTGTTTGTTCAGCAGCAGCAAATAGGAGTGGAGCTTTGGCTTGGGGTCGATCCATACTTGGATGCATAAAACCCACAAGGTCCCTTTGGGCTGAGTGGGCTAGTTTTTGCTAACACTTGGGATCTTTATTAAAAAGCGTAGAAAAAATATTGCAAGAAATCACACTGCTTCCAGAACACCCAAATGTGATAGGACATCTGTGTCTGTGCTACTGCAGCTGTTGCTTCACAAATCAGCACTTCAGGATGTGAGTGGCGCGTGGGCGAACACCATCTGGGGCTCCCAGGTCCCTTCTACAGAGACCTCTCCTGCATCGTGTCTCTTGCCTGCCACCTGGTTTTGTCCATTCTAGCAGTTTTCTACAGCTCTCCTTCAGGCTGACCCTAGGGCCCCAGTACACAGGGCTCTTGCCATCTTCCCTTGCCTCTACAGAGTACATACTTTCTTCTCACCAAGACCTTCATATGGTAGTAAGTGGTGTGGGTTACCCTGAAATTATCCTGTGGTCCCAGGAGGCCTGCTGCCCGTGCATGCACACACACTCTGTGCACTCCTGGCAGGAGCCCACAGGCCCACCTACACCTGCTGAGATGTATTTAATGTCAGGTGCTTTACACATGTTATCTGATTTTTATCCCTATGGAAACCCCAAAACATAGATACCCATATTATCTTCACTTTACAGATTACAGGGAAAGCATGGATTAGAATTCCAATGCAGTCTTTTAGGCTCCAGATCCTGTGCTCTTAAACACTGCTATACACAGCACCTAAAACAGCTGTAAGTGATTGCACTGAATTCATTCTGTTTCTTGAGATTGTAAATCATAAAACAGCCAGGAACATGTGATTTAATATTATTTATTCACCAAAGCACTTACCACCCAGTATCCAAGAACCTTAGGAAAGAAAGAATAAGAGAAAGAGAAGACATTGTTGGCTTCAGAGAGCTGCCCTTCTGGTCAAGATCCCCTCATGTAAACAGGGAACTTTGGAACAGACAAAGCCAAGACATTAAAGTTGAATGCGGGGAGGCTGTGTGAACTGAGGGTGTGAAGGCCCCTAGCCAGTATGAAGACGGTGTAAACCAAGGGTGTGAGGTCCTGAACAGCATGAAAATGGTGTGAACCGAGGGTGTGAGGTGCTGGCCATTCTTAGGATGGTGTGAACTGAGGGTGTGTGAGGTCCTGGTCAGCTGAGGATGGTGTGAGGTGTGGCTTGAGGGTGCCAGGGCCCTGGTAAGCCACACACAGTGCAGGTGTGAGCAAAAGTGACTGTGTGACAGTTCATGTGGTGCCCTACAAAATAAGCACATTTAACTTACAGGCAACTCTAAAAAGATACCAAGCAGAACACAGGAATAAATTAGATTCTTTGGAGAAATCTCAAGCTGAGCTGAAGAAGATCCGAAGGAAAAGCCAAGGAGGACGAAATGCGCTAAAATACGAACACAAAGAAATCGAGGTGAACTTTTCAGCGATGTTTTTTCTGTCGTTGTTGGTAACGTATACAGTTTAAGAGGAGGCCTGCTTACCTCAGTCAGCCTGTACCTTATCTACTCGATGTTGTGCTACTGCTGAAGTTAAAAATAAGCATTTTGAAGTTGAGCTCATGGAGGTGCAGAGTAGAATGGTGGTTACCAGAGGCTGGGCAGGGGCTGGGGGTGAGGAGAGGTTGGTCAGTGGGTACAAACTGGTAGGTACAACTGGAAGGAATGAGTTCTAACGTTCGATAGCAGAGTTAGGGTGACTGCAGTGAACTATTTATTTCAAATAGCTAGAAAAGAGGTCTTGAAACGTTCCCAACACAAATAAATGAGGATACCTGAGGTGCTGGATATGCTAAGTACCCCAACTTGATCATTACACATTCTATGCATGTAACAAAATATGTGCAAATATTATATACCAATTTTTAAAAATAAGCATTTGACTTAGTAAGAGCTGCAGAGTTTTCCAGCGTTGTTAATTAGTGGCCTCCTAAAGATATTGGCCTTTTCTCCAGACTAAGGAAGAAGGTACTCTAATGACTGTCACTACTATCCCCATTGTACAGATGGGGAAAATGAGGCTTAGGCTAAGTCATGGTGGCATTTGGAACTGGGATTTGAACCTGGGACTTTCTGGTTCCAAAGCCCATGGTGCTTTCCAGTAGAACAGAGTCATGTCCCTGCAGTACAAAGTAATATTTTTTGCAGGTCGCCCGGTGGGAATGTAAAGCCTTTGGCACCGTCTCTGGTTCAGGGATCTTAATGAGAATGAAATCTACTCAGTCCAGGTTACAACTTCGTTTGTCTTTGTGTGTCTGCATTTACTTTTTACTCCATTATCAAAATAAACTAAGTGTAAAGATGGCAGAAGAGAAATGTCATGCTGTGCAGCTGTCTGATGCTCTGTGTCATACTTGCATAATTTTTATTTATTTGTTTGTTTATTTATTTTTAGTACGTAGAGACTGTTACTTCTCGCCAGAGTGAAATCCAGAAATTCATTGCAGATGGCTGCAAAGAAGCTCTACTGGAAGAGAAAAGGCGCTTCTGCTTCCTGGTTGACAAACACTGCAGCTTTGCAAATCACATCCATTATTATCACCTACAGGTGGGTGTGAGGGCAGATTGCGCTGAGTGTATTAATAACTTTATTTCCTACTGAAATGCCCTTGAGGTGCTTCACCTTCCATTTAGCCCAATAGAAAGCATCGGGCCTGTTTTGCCAATGAGAAAGTTCCCTAAGAAACAGGTTTTGGCCAACTTGAATTTATAAATGTATAGAAATGCAGATGAAATGGTCAGATGTCTGCTTATAATATTTAATTAATTTAGTAATACATCTGTATTTTAAATCCTTAATGAAATAATGCTAATAATTGAGAAGTGGTACCTTTTCCTGTCCTCACCTACAAGTTGACTTTCTCCTGCATCCTCAGCATCAATGTCTTTACCAGAGTCACGAGAGTCCCAGCGGGCCCCGGGTCCACCCTCTGCCCCTAGGGGTCTGAGATGCCTCCCTCTAGGATCCATGCACGGGGGTCACTGGCAGTTCTGCCCTAGGCCATGGCTCCTCCTTCTTCCCCAGGCCATTAGGACAGTGGGGTTTTGTCGTGTGTTCCCTCTCTTCAAGGTGTTTGCCCAAGATTTCCTCAACTGAATGCCCCATCCCCTCCTTCCAACATGTGCGTCTGTGAGGTTAGGCACCACACACACACACAAGAATCATTACACAAATTTCCTTTGCTCTTTTTTTAAAATTATGAATTCTGTTGGGCCTGTATCACCATCCAAAGCTAGCACTGGTTGAGGTCAAATATTTGTTGTTCATAATAAAGTAATTTAGAATGCTCCGTAATATGAGAAGCTTTGCAAGAGCTTGAATATAAGTCAACCTCTTTTTTCATGGGAAAAAAAACCTTGGCCTTGTGTGTATGCATGTTATTCATTCTATAAAGTTTTTACAACTTTAAGGATATTCTGCTACCTAACCTAAATACCTAGGTTCTAAAATTGTTACAGCAAAGGAAAGAATTGCTGTAGTAGATGATCACTCCTGTTGACAGTGCGTCTGTACTAGTTTCAGCAATGTCAAGTTAGCTTGTGAAACTTCTGTCCCATGGTGAGGGCATCCTGCTGCAGCAGGGGCATAGGCTGGTGAAGGACAGAGCGACCTTGAAACTCTCTTCCCATGGTAACACCCCACTATGTCACGAAGCAACCTGGCCTATTTTCAGAGAGCTCTAGTTGCTGGCAAAGTCTTTCTTAGACGTAACTTTGGGTCTCAGTTAGTCTTTGTAGAGTGACACAAACCAAATCTGCTTCTTTCTATACTGGAAGTTTCTTCAACTATCTGAAGAATGCTTTTATGACTTCCCTCATCCCAGCTAAAGCATCCCAGACCTTTCAGTGGCTCTTGGGTGAAGCAGGCTCAAGCAATTGGTCCACCATGTGGCACTGCCCCAGCGTGTCAGGGTGATAGTTGGGGACAGGGTGGTGTGGGGAGGGGCTTTGCCCTCCTCTAGGATTTACCTCAGCACCCAGCCACCCCCAATAAATACAGAGCCTGAGTAAAAACAATGTGATTGCCATGCAAATGGCTGCAAGATGGGCCTCCAACTTCTCTTTTCCAACCAGATTGCTGCCCTGGAAAGGGGGTTCACTGACAGGCTTTGGGGAGCCTTTGGGATTCCAGTTGCCAGAGCAGAGCCAGGCCTATGGGAGCAGGAGGGCTACCTCAGCCTGGCCTCCAGAGCTGTGGGGTCTCGTCTTTGCTGGTCTGTCTCTGCAAAGCCTCTGTTGGCCTGTGGTGGGGCGTCCCTCAGCACTGCCCACCACACTTCTCCTATCTCGGTCCCATACAGGCTTCTCAAGACAGAATCTGATTCACTTCTGTAACATGTGAATTGGGCTGCGGGGCCTGTCGCCTGTGTCGGAGGTGTTGCTTTCAGAAGGGTGGAAGGAAGGAAGCGATGATTGGCATTGGAAGAAAGCGATGATTGGAAAATAGTGGGGATTCGTATAGATTGCTCAACCCTTCCCTTTTCATTTTTGGACTTGTTCTTAATTGCTTACAATCCCCATATTAGTCTTAGGCTCTGTATTCACACTGAGAGGGCAGGTGGATTCCTTTAGAGCCAGAGCCTGTGTCCTTCTCAGCAAATGAGACACAGCAGATGCTCATAGATGCTTAAACCACTCGCTGACTTTAACTCAGAGCTCCCACACTTCCGGTGGTCAGCCAGTAATATGTTATCAGTGATACTATTTGATATAATTTTTGTCAGCTCTTCAAACAGTGCACTTTTGTCTTTAGTGTTGTTTCTTTTGGATTTATAGTCTGCAGAATTACTTAATTCCAAACTGCCCAGGTGGCAGGAAACCTGTGGTGATGCCACCAAAGTACCAGAGAAAATCATGAATATGATAGAAGAAATAAAGACTCCAATCTCTACGCCAGTATCCGGAACACCTCAGCCATCACCCATGATGGAGAGAAGCAACATGGTAGGAACCGGTTATCTCTTTGCAATTTCAGTTGTGTGTTTACAAACTTGATTTGGACCAACTTTACTCGAAGGACCTAGGCCGCCTTTGCTGGTGAAAAATCACCTGTCCTCCTTTATTATTTCTTATTTCTAGGGCCTACTTTTTCTCACCTTTATCCCCTTACCTTTAGATTTGAAATTAGCTGTGTAAATATTTAATACTATTAATATGTTTAGTACTGTCGTCTTTGTTTTGCAAATTCTATTACTGTTTTTAATTGTAATGATTCCAACTTTGTAAGTTTACTCCCAATGAAGGAAGTATAGTTGTCTCAGAGAATAGATTAGAAACACTCTGATGCCATCCTTCACAATGTAAGACACTTCAAGAAAAAAATAGTCACCGAAGTATTCACGGTAGTGAATTCACACATTACAGTTTGCTGTTCTTTCAACCTGGGCTTTTTTACTTTTCACACACACACACACACACACACACACACACACACACACGTGGAGATTTGGATCCAGCAGGTAGTTTGAACACGGAGGAATCCATTCTGACCATCTAAAAACGCCTGAATTGACAGTAAAGACCCTAAAACCGAGCCGACTACCCACAGCAAAAGAAGAGAAGGTGCCATCAATGGACCAGAAACACTGAAGGAGTCTCTAAAAGAGAGTGAGGCAGGATCAGTGTTTGGAGAACCAAAACAGAAGGAAACCTCAGCCCCAGGCTTGTGCAGGGCGAGGCTGCTGCAGAGGGTGGAGTCGCTCCTGGAAGCAGGGAGCACAGAGTCCATGGATACAAGAAGTGGGACAGAGCCTGGGCATTTCTTTGTGTAGCTGGCTGGGGGGCCAGACAGCCCCTTCCCCTTGTGCCGCCTGTGCTAAGCCACAGGCAGCTTTTGTTTACGATGCACAACTGTGTTTGGATCGAAGAGGTAGGGCACCCCCTGCAAGTGCCCTAAAATGATGACAAAAGTAATGAGAACAAGCAAAACACAGACCATCATATACAGTAAGAAGAGGGACTGTCATACAGTGTGAAGGTGGTTGGCCTGGGAACACCAAGCAGGTGAGGAAACCCAACATCGTGAAGAGGCTCCAAAATAAAAAACCGTCATGACCAGTATCAGCAGCAGGAGAGTCAGCAGGCAGAGGAGAAACCTCTAGAGAGAGATGAAAGGATATCACACCCACAAAGAATCAGATGGATAGCTTGCAAATCAAAAAGTGGATTATTATTTATAGTTAAAATTATAAGTCTAGGACTTGTTTCAATAAGTTCAGGCATAGTTCAGGAAGATGGATGAGGGTATGCATGAAACAAGAGTGATCATAAATTGATAATTGTCAAAGCTGGGTGTTGAGTATGGGGAAATTTATTATGCTATTCTCCTCTACTTTCATACACATTTGAAATTTTTCTAAAATAAGAGTTTTTTATAATTGGATTTTTTCCTCTCTTTCACCTCCCCCAAGAAAAACACCAATAGATGAGCACATTGGCAGAGTGGAACTGCTTAGAAGAGTGAGCCAAAGAACCTTCCTAAAACATAGTGCACAAATAGAAAAAGGTTTTTTAAAAATGAAAACAAAACAGAAAGAGGGGAGATGAGTGGTGGAGCCATCAAAGCATGGAAGACAGAGCCAGCTGCCCCCTCAGCATCACCACCTGATGTCTAATGGGAATCTCCAGTGCAACTTGTCCAAAACCAAATCCCTGATTTTCTCACACTAAGCCTGTTTTCCCAGGCTTCCCTCCCCAGTAAGGAACTCCACCCTTCCAGTACACACGAAACGTCAGCTGCCTGCTCTGTCTTACGCTGCAGCGTTCCAGCAGCACATCCTGTCGTTTCTGCCTTCAAAGCACATCCCAAGTCCAGCCTTTCTCCCTCTCCAACATCCTAATCATCCTTGCAGAGACTAGTGCAGTAGTCTCCTGCCTGGTCTTCAACACAGCAGCGAGTGTGACCCTAGATGAATGGAAAAGAACAATACCTGGAGAGATGACAGTCAAGTTTCAGAATATCAGGGATAAAGAGAAAATTCTAAAAACTTCCAGAAAGGGAAAAGATAGATTATTTACAAAGACAAGTGATTGATAGCAGATTTCTTGTTAGCAAAACAAGATGTTAGAAGTTAATGAAGCAGTGCATTCAAAATTCTGTGGAAAAATTATTTTGAATGTAGAATTCTGTAGCCAGTTGGCACTTAAGAGGGATCCTAAAACCTATAGAAACAAAAAGTAGATTAGTGGTTGCCAGAGAAATGGAGAATAACTTTTTTGTTTTTCTTTTTTTAAGACAGCGAAGGCAAAAATGAGAAGAAACAGAGTGTGTGGTACTCTTGAAATGATTCAAAACGGGGCATTCATACTTACCTGGCAGGGGAGATACCATGATCACAAAATGGGGCATTGCCCTACAACTAAGAGAATTTGGGGAAGAAGATGGAATTTAAAGCATGTGATTAAAAAAAAAAAAAAAAACCAAAAAAACCCCACTCTGGGAATCTGTATAATTCCAGTTCAGTGTTATATTAGACTAATAACAAATTTTTCACAGGTTGGGAAAGACTATGACACCCTTTCTAAATACTCGCCAAAGATGCCCCCAGCCCCTTCAGGCAGAGCATATACCAGCCCTTTGATTGATATGTTTAATAACCCAGCAGCAGTCGCACAGAATTCAGAAAGGATAAATAATTCAACAGGTAAGAAACTTCGTTTGATTTCTTTGAAGATACCTTTTTCAATTTTTAAAAATAATTTGTGAAGTAAATATTTTGGGTAAATGTATTATAAGATAAAGGCAAACAAACAGGTATAGTAGGTGCATTCAGCCCCAGCTTGGAGAAGTGTAAGCTCAAGACACATAGGTGTAGACCATAAGGCATTTCAATAAGTGGCACATTTTTGTGATATATACTGATTCTATAAACTGACGTTTATACAGAACAAACATGCCGCTGAGAGTTATTATATTTAAAAATAAATGGGACAAAATGTGCATAGCCTTGCAGTGTGTTCCATATTTGGTGGAAAATGTAATAATTTTTTTTTAATAAACTATAAAAGTTCAAGTGACAAAATTATGGTTATTATTCTTACCAATAGGCTTAGTCTGAATTCTAATCAGCATTTTTCATCATCTCTAACACAGTGCCTCCTGCTTTGTGGAGGCTTAAGTCCTAACTACTTAAATTTCTTAACTTTGTTGATTATATCTCAGCGAATCAGGATCAGTTATTGTTTGCAGATGTTTCGGGCTGCTTCATTGGTTAGGCCCCCCACTTCCTACACGCCGTCTTTGGCACTCAGGACCCTCGAGACCTGTGCTGTGGCCCCTGACCTGCCAGTGTGGGGTGTCTGCTAGGCCCCTTTGGTGTGAGTGTTGTGGGAATTGAGTCGTGTGCCGGAGAGAGCCTGCAGATGATAGCATTTGAAGCTGTTGAGCAAAGATGAGAGATTGCCCGAATGACGACAGGCATAGCTTAGCAGAGGAAGATGATAGTCTGTAGTCATTGGCCTTTGAAGGAAGTACTGTGTGTTATATAAAATATAAAGTTAAAATATATAATGCTATACACAACCCCAGTCATTTAAATAACTCTGGTTCTTGTTGGTAAAAGCTAAACGAAAATTGCTGGTGGATTCAGTATTACCTAGGTAACTAGAGAGTGGCATGTTAAGGAGACAGCAAGGTTTATGTTGTAACTATTAAGAATTTGCAAGAATAAAGCAGAAAAAGATCTTGCATTGTTTTAAATTAAATATGCTAGATGTATTACTAGCTTGGCAAAATTTTAGTGGGGGAGAAAAAAAAGAAAAAAAAAATCTCCATTCTGCTTTTTGTTTTTTCATGGAGTGGAAATATCAGCCTGTGTTTGAATTGAGACATGAACTGGCAGCCTCATGCTTCTCCATGAGACGTGGCTGTGGGGCTGGTGTGCCCGCCCGGCTCCCGACTCTCATCTTTTGCTGGCTGTGTGATCTGCCAGTGTGGTTGGTAGCGGTGCCTTCCTTCGAAGGAGCCTGGCGAGCTGGTGGCTGTGAAGTGTTGAGAGTGTTGTCAGGCACTTAGTGAGGGCCCGATAAACAGAGTCCATCCTCATTGCACCCTTACCGCGCTGGGGGTGAGAAGCAGCCAGGTTGGCAAGAACATCTGCATTTCCAATTTTCTCCTCTTCTTTGTGTATGTTGGCAGTTGGATTAGAGCTGCTGCCTCAGCCTGCCTTTGGTGTTGGAGCAGTGTGCCTTTCTAAGAAGAGCCGTCCCAGTTCAAATCAGCACAGTTAGAGCCAGCACATGCTGGCTTGTTCTCTAGGTCTGGAAAGAAGCCCTCAGCCGCAGGGACCCTCCTCTGCACTGTCAGAGCCCTCAGGCCATAGGCTGTCTCTGTTTTGTCGCAGTCCCTGTCCCATCCAGGCAATGACAGGGGCAAGGAGCTGTGGCACAATTAGAATTTCTGTGGAAGAACTGTGTGGGCAAGCTGGGAACAGATGGGTTTCTGCGATTTGCTTGTTTGAACGTGTGGATCGATTATCATTCTTTGAAAAGCTGTTACTGCTACGCTGACTCTGACAGATACTTCAGAAGATGCCAGTTTACAGCGATCAGTTTCCGTTGCAACTGGACTGAACATGATGAAAAAGCAGAAAGTAAAGACCATTTTCCCACATACTGCTGGCACCAACAAGACCTTACTGAGCTTTGCACAGGGAGACGTCATCACGCTCCTCATCCCTGAGGAGAAGGACGGCTGGCTCTACGGAGAGCATGACACCTCCAAGGCGTGAGTAAAGTTTATAGTTTAGTTCTAATATAATCTCAGGCTATTTTCTGTATGTGCATATACAGGTAGATTTAGTGCATGAATAGATTATTAGGTCATATGAAGTCACCTCTCTGAAAGTGGTTTTAAATATTCTTTTGTTTTTTTAAAAAAAATTGGCTTTGGATTTCTCAAGGAGAATCTGTGTATCAGATATAATTTGTTAAGATTTAACACATATAATAGTTTCAATGCCATCCTCATCATGTCAACCATGAGTGTATACACAAGCCTTAATGTAACTGAGTCAGTTTTCTGGGTAGATTTTTCAAGTATATTACATATAAAACCAATATGAAAGAAAGGGAATCCAAGTCAAATGAATATAATATATAAAATACACATTGTTTTGTGTGTGTATGCAAAGTGCATACTCATTTATAAGAAGGCTTAATTTCATTCAGTCCACACATGGCCCCGTGTGGTGAAAACGGACCCATCTGCCCCTGAGCTACCGTCAGGACATTCTTTAGTGTTTACTGTTGACTCATCTACTGCAGATACCACAAAAATGTCTTTTTTATTTTTCTCACTCTTCACCTATAGGAGGGGATGGTTCCCGTCGTCATATACAAAGTTGCTGGAAGAAAATGCAAAGGAAACAGTGACTATGCCCACGCCAAGGTACTGCGTGAAAGTGGCTCAGGTCTCCCCACAACAGAAAACCTTTACCCTGTGTTTCCAGGCATAGCGGAATTATAATCTAGACGTGCAGCAAGCCCCACTGTCAAACCTTGGACAGGACCTTGTTGACTAACTAGTCAGAAATAGAGTTTACGGCCCCACGGTGGTCTCTGTTGTCCATGAGCTTTACTCACCATCTGCTGTGAGGAGACTGACCCAGACCCCCTCCCCCTCACCCCTCCAGCTCTCTGAACCCTCTCGCTGCCCCGCCCCACACCTACTGGTTGCTGAATCCAAGGCGCACATTTTCTGTCCTTATCTTAGCAGCCCTTAACGCTGCTGTGCACCTTTTCTAGGGATGTTTTCTTGCCTTGGCTTCTTGAGCAGTGCCGTCTTCCTTCTGCCTCAGTAGCCTCCCTCTTCGGTGCCCCCTGCAGCCCTTCTCCTGCCCGTCCATTAAACGTTGGCGTTCCTCGGGGATCGTCCTTTTCCTTTGTGCTGGGCTGTCTCCTCTACTCCTGTAGCTTGAACTACACCCATGGGCTTCCCTTAGCACCTCTGCACCGATAACCCCCAATCCATATCCTAGTCCAGATTATAATAATAACAGTTATCGCTGAGACTGTCTAAAGTGCTTTGTTGATTAGCTCATTCTCACAACAGTTCTGTGAGGTAGGACCCCACTTTAAAGAGTGAATCTGAGGCACAGAAAGGTTGAATAACTTGCTCAAGGACACACAGCTAGAAGTGGCAGAGCCAAGACCAGAACCCAGGAAGATCTCTTCCAAGCTTTGATGTAAATGTTTGAATGTGTAGTAGGTGGCTCTAGTTGGCTGTCCCATGAGTCCTCAGAAATGACACGTCCACATTTAACTGGTCATTTTTACCCTAAACTGCCTGGTCCTCAGTGTTCTCCCAGAAAGCCCCTAAACTGTCAGCTGTCCAGGCAGAACACCTCCAGGTCCTCCGTTAGACATGCTTAAGGTCCTGACACCTTCTACGTATCTTCGTCCCTAGCAGAATAGCTAAAATGCCATTGTGCCAAGAAATGAAAACTAAGTACCATTAAAGAATTTCTTCTGAGTATGCATGTGTAAACCAGTGAAGACATTGCAGTGTTTTGTGTAGATATATGTACGGTGTGTGTGTCGTAATCCCCTCCTGCCTCCCCCTTTTTGATTAGTGATCTGCCATTACTGTCATCCTTGGCCATGGGACATTCAGGATGTTTGGGATTGAGGTGGCAGGACCTTATCTAACTTGTATTCTCTCACTTTGGTTTTGAGCCCGACGCCGGTGAGAAGCATCAGCACTGTGGACTTAACTGAGAAGAGCAACGTCGTCATCCCCCCACCCGATTACTTGGAATGCTTGTCCATGGGAGCAGCTGCAGACAAAAAAGATGTTGCCAGAAATATTTCTACCTTCAAAGCACCAGTGTCCAAGCCAGAAACCACGTCTCCTGTGAGTAAAGCCACAGAATGTCCTGTGTACTGGACTCACTGTCCCCCTCACTAGGGAGGCCTATGTTACTGTCCCGCCTTAACTGTCTTGCTCTGCCCCAGGAGGAGGATGGTGTGTGGGAGGGCATTTTCTCCTTTGTTCTTCTAAATTCCCTTCTTTGTCTCACAGCCTTTAACCTCCTTGACTTCAGTCTGTCTCTTGTTTTTACTTTATCTTCTCAATGACAGTTTACGTACAGTAGGCCCATAGTTTGCTGGATTTTATTGTTTTTTGTTTTATTAAGAGACAGGGTCTTGCTCTGTTACCCAGGCTGGAGTGCAGCGGTGTGATCATAGTTCACTGCAGCCTCGAACTCTTGGGTCCAGGAGATCCTCCTGCCTCAGCCTCCCAAGTAGCTGGGACTACAAGCATGTGCCACCACGCCCGGCTAATTTTTAATTCTTTTGTAGAAATAGGGTCTTGCTATGTTGCCCAGGTTGGTCCTGCACTCGAGTGATCTTCCAAAAAAAGTGCTGGGATTATAGGCATGAGCCACCGCACCCGGCCTTATTAGATTTTTAATCTCCCCTTGCTTTTGGTCATGGCTATAGTCCTTTTGTCGTTTAATCACCTTTTTCTGCATTTTCTTCCATTTTCATATTGTTTTCTGAAGGGATGCCTAATGTTAAAGGTGGTAACTTTATCTTTCTTCGAAAATGGAAACCCATACCAGGTGCTGTGTAAATTCTGTATGTACATTACCTTTAATCCTAAACAACGCTGTAAGTCAGAGGGGGACCCGGGCTCAGGGAGTCACTTACTCCATCCCTTCCTTCGACAACTGTGCATGGAGCGTCTGCTGAGCGCCCAGCCCTGGTGTGGCCTCTAGAGATACAGAGACGAACGAGGCGGGTTCTGGCCTCTCTAGAACATCTGTCCTCATGATTGGAGGCGGACAGTAAATACAAACAAAAGTAGCCATGGCAAAAGCATGGGGAGAATTAAAACAAGGTGAGGTGATAATGGGGTGGGTGACAAAGCAGACAGACGTCACAGGTTGAGTTTGCTGAGATTAGCATGCCCTGGGGTAGGACCTGCAAGGGAGAGGAAGGGGGCAGCGGCAGGCAGGGGGACTGCTGCCAGGACAGCCCTCGGAACCGTCCTGACTTGGGACGGGGGAGCCAGGCCCCTACGCGCCTGTGTCCAGGGGCAAGACCTACAGGCAGAGTGACTGCTGAGGAGCAGTGTCCACAGCAGTGGGCTCCTCCGAGGAGGTGACATTTAAGCTGAGACCTGAATGACAGGGTGCCAGCCACGCAGGCTGTGGGGGAGCCCTGAGGAGGGCACATGCTCAGTGTGCTTGAGGAACAGCGCTACTTGTAAATTACCAAGTGACGTCAAGTCCACAGGGGCTTCTTATCCTCCTGATCTTTTTTCGGTGTAGACTATATAACAGGGCAGGAGGAAATGATGGAGGAAAAGGAGATGACCGAGAAGGAAGGCAGGGCCAGAGCACAGGTGCAGGAGCTGGCCTGGCCAGGAGTGGGGACGCGCGTCCACTGCAGTCAGTGAATAGGCCGCGGCTGGTGGGCAAGCTGGGTGCGTCTGTGCCGACTTCTGTCTTCTCGGCGGTAAAGGAAGATCGTCAGTGGCTGGGGTGGGCAGGTTGTGGTGAGCAAGCTCAGAAAAAGGGAGGCTGTGAAATAGGTGTTTTGAAGAATGTGAATAATCCTGTCATGACCTGAATGGGTGAAGGGCAGTGGGGAAGTCCCCTGGAGGCTGCATAATTGCTGGCGTGGAGAGAACAGGAAGGCCAGGAGGGGTGGTTCAGACAGCGGAATGGACTCGGAGGATGTATAGCTGAGGAGGTGCTCGAGATTGCAGGACGGCCAGGCAGTAGGGCCAGGTGGAACCTAAGCCTGCCGGGCCACCACCTTCCTCATGGAAGCATCACCCAGGGCACCAGTGGGAGTTAAGTCCATGCCACTTTGCTGGTTTTTTAATTATTTCCAGTTATGGTGTGGTCCTTTCTGTGGCACATACGTAAGCCGTCTCCCCGGCTCTCAGTGGGTTATGGCTCCACCACTCTGCCTCTTGCAGAACCCAAGCTACACAGGCGGAGTCTTCAGTTACGTGAAATGGATAGTCCTTTAAAAGTGTGCCCTGTGCTTTAGTGTGAGCCGTAAGGAGTTTGGGAACATACCCTCGTTGCAGGCTACCAGGCATGTCTGGGTCTGGGAAGCGCAAGCCTTTGAAATCTCACTCAAAATGTCTTTGGCTTCCCTCTTAGGTAAGCCCACTGCACGGTATATTGTTTGTACTTTTATTGTTGCAGATTACTCCAAATATCTGACTCCAAAAATTTTCCCCCAAAGGACACATGGCTATTGAAAATAGAGCTTTCTGACTCCATCAGCAGGGCAGGAGATGTCAAAGCAGAAAAACCTACTTGGAAGGGCAAAGATATCAAATGCTGTGTTATGAAAGGCCCAATACATTTTCAAACAATACTCAAACCATTTGGAAAGTCATATTTGGAAGTGATCTAAAAGCATAAGAATTCCTTTTGCCAAGGAAAATCTTTTACAACTGCATGTCACAAAACTTAGGATATGGGCATAGAAGGTACATTATTCAGGTGTGATCTCTGAGTCTACAGTGCTTTCCCTATTTTTGCTTGATTTTCAACCTTTCCTCAGAGAAAAATTCAAACATATGTAAAAGTAGAAAGAATAATGACCTGCATGCAGCTTTAACAATTATCAGTTCATTTACCAATCTCACTTCATCTCCACCCCACCCACGCTCGGTTCAATTTAAGGCTAATAACGTCAGATCTCAGATCATTTCATTTGTAAATATCATTTCAACTGTAAATATCTAAAAGACATGATCAGTTTTCAAATATATGATATTGGTATTGTGATATTGGTATTTTAAATATCATATTTAAAAATTGATAATTCCTGAACATCATCAAATAGTCACTGTTCCAATTTCCAATTGTCTCATTTAAAAATTGTTTATAGGCCGGGCGCGGTGGCTCACATCTGTAATCCTAGCACTCTGGGAGGCCGAGGCGGGCGGATTGTTTGAGCTCAGGTGTTCGAAACCAGCCAGAGCAAGAGCGAGACCCCGTCTCTACTAAAAATACAAAGAAATTAATCGGACAACTAAAAATATATAGAAAAAATTAGCCGGGCATGGTGGTGTGTGCCTGTAGTCTCAGCTACTTGGGAGGCTGAGGCAGGAGGATCCCTTGAGCCCAGGAGTTTGAGGTTGCTGTGAGCTAGGCTGACGCCACGGCACTCTAGCCCGGGCAAAAAGAGCGAGACTCTGTCTCAAAAAAAAAAAAAAATTGTTTATACTATCATTGTTTGAATCTGGATCCAAATCAGCTCGTTGCAGTGTAATTGCTTGATAAGTCTTGTGAGTGTATCGACAGGTCTCCCTTTCTGTCTCTTCTTCCTGGTAATTTATTTGTAGAAGAACCAGCTGTTTGTCCTGGAGCGTGTCCCCAGTCTGGGTTTGCCGATTGCATCCACATGGTGTCCGTTACCGCATATACTGCCCTGTGGCTCCTGTGTTTCTGGTGAATGGGTAGTTAGGGCTGAAGCCTTGATCAGAGTCTGTGTTGTGTGGCTGCTTTCGCTAGAGCATCTCATCAGTGGAGGTGGCCGCTTCCATCTGGAGGCCGGATTGTCTTTTTATGATGTTAGCAGCTGTTGGTGATCACCTAGCCCTACGCTCTATGAAGATTGTATAGTGCCTTTTAAGGTAAAAGAATCTTGCCCAAATCTCCTAGTTAGCCCTGGAATTATAAATGAAAACACTGGCACTTTGGCCAACACATGATAGTCACCAGTTTTAGAAAATGAAAACATGTTTTGTTTTCAGTGTGTTTCCCATGTGGCTAAAGCCTGGTGAAGGAAGCCTTCATGCAGTAGTTCCTATTGCATGGAACTGGATAAATTGAAACATCTTGATTTTAAATATGAATATAATCGATAATGACACGTTATTCCTTATTTAGCATTTGGTAGTTTAAATGTGGCCTAGCTTTATTTTTATACCTCTTTGTTGGCTGAATCATGACAATCTGTCAGAAGGCTGTGTTGACCAGTGCTGAGACCTCACTGGAGTGATCTGAGGACTGCGAACAGTGCCGGGCCCTCTTACTGGCTCCCCACTTCCTCGAGCAGCAGAGCCTTAGGCACGCCACCTTCTTCCTAGGCCCTGTCTTGGAAAGCTGGGCTGGGCTGGGGTGCCTGCAGGGGGTGACCTGCAGGGGCATCCACCATCAGGGCTGGCCCATGTGGACACCCTACTGCCCTTCCCACCTCAGCGTGCCCTCGGCCTCCCGCCCGTGGGCTTCAGCCTGCGCCCTCCGCAGGAGGGTTCCCAGCGATCCTGTCCCCTGGCTGCCTCCAGGCAGAGCTGCACACCCCGAAGCTCCCTCCCACCACAGACACACACACACACACGCACCATCTCCACTGCCTCACGTGCCCTGTTTCTGTCTCACAAACTAGGCGGCTTTCAGTCTTTCCTTTTAGCAGCCTTTAATTTTTGGTTTTATGTAAGAGCATTTAAAAGCCCCAAATGTCTAATGAAGATGTTCTTGTGTGGATTCTAATGATTTCAATTGTCATTGATTTTGCCAGTCTTAGAATAATTAATGTTGATTAACTCTTAATGGTAACTGAAACCAATAAGCAGGCAGGTATGGAGTTGATACCCAGTGAGGTCATGTTCATAACTGATGGCAGTCAGTATTTCTATGGCAACAGACGACAGTGGCCATAAACACAAGCAAATGGCACGTGGAGCTGCACCATGTGGGAGGGATCTTTGTGGATCAAGATGAGACCGGCACCTGAGCATCCATCCATTCAGCATTTACTGACCAACTTATTATGGTCCAGGCCCTGTGTTAGGCCCTCAGGACACAATAGGAATACGACCAACCTAGGAGCGGAGTCTCGTGAAGGATGTATTAGGGCTGTGGAACAAGGTGCATG